TAGTACATTGATTTGATACATTTTTATTCTGAATTTCAATATTTGCCCATCCATCCATCCATCCATCCATCTATCCACCCATGCATCCATCCATCCATCCATCCATCCATCCATCCATCCATCCATCCATCCATCCATCCATCCATCCATCCATCCATCCATCCATCCATCCATCCATCCATCCATCCATCCATCCATCCATCCATCCATCCATCCATCCATCCATCCATCCATCCATAAGTACCTGCTGCTAAGGCAGTTTTGTTCTGCAATCTTACGTTTGTTGAAACCTTCAGTCCTCTTGAAGTGTTTTAGGAACAACAGGAATCTACTTGTTCAATGCATTGTCTGCTGTTGCTTTCCAATGAATGCCTACGAATGCCAGTGTTGGCATTTATTGCAGGTCAAAATTGACTGCAAGCTAGCAATGTGCATCCCTTGTTGAGTAGTGTCATCAATGTAGAGATAATGACAGCTCACCCAATGGCAGGTCTTCTAGACCTGCTAATGTTTGGATGACCTTAAGAACTAGCTGTTGAATTTCTTATTGCCCAAGAGGATTTGTCTAACAGGGCTAGAATAAGGGCACTTATGAGACCCAGATGGCAAAAGTATTTCTTATCCTCTATAATGCTTCTTTTCAACTAACTCAACACATTCCTAAAGTCAATGAAAACAACAAACAACTTTAAATCCCATGTATTAAAATGAGGATTAAAAAAAGACTAGTGGGCTGAAATTAATGATGATTCAGAAATGAGTCAGCTATTGAACTCTCTTTCAAAAGCTGTATTGAAGAAGAAAAAAAAAAAAGAATAGTATGAATAATTGGAAACTAAGGAGCTTTTGCAAGTAAATACTTGCAGGTACTTAGTGTGTGTGGAACTAAGGAAATCCAGAAAGCATGCACGAGAAGGTACACTAAGGAAACTAACTAGTGCTATTACTGACCACTAGCAAGTATCTTTTAAAAATAATGAGTAACTGCTAAGATTCCAGATGAATTTTTTGAAAGACTTGAGAGATCTGACTGCACATGAGACCTTTACCCTTGAAGTGAGTAGAACACATCAGTGGTCCATCCCTGCTCAGGGCTGCGACTGTAATCCAACAGGGCACACGCTGTGGGTTTGCACAGTCCTGTAGAGTGTCCCTTGTGTTTTGACATTACTCCAGAATATTTCACACTGATATATGTTAAATTAATGGCATTTTTTAAATTCCAAGAATTCTATTAGGAAAGAAAATTCGTATGTTTAAAACTAAAGTCACCATCTGATGTTATGCTGCTATGGATAAAATGCATGACAGATGGCCATTTTGCCAAGAAATCCATTTTATAAATTCTGAAATAAAAGAAGAGAGCTAATCTTTAACACTCTGTCAGTTGAGCACTAATGAGCCCACTTGCCAGCTTGGACAGGTAAGTGAAGTTATTCACAGTGGAAGGATTTGTACCAGTAGATAATCTGTCACCAAAATAAACCCGACACGTTAAGTTACTGTCTTTGTATTGTGTCATAAGTCTGTGATGTATTTTATTGCGTGTAGATTCAGAATAAAACTAAGGTAACATCCATGGAGTAGTATATACTACATAAAAGCATTGATTCAGACATAAAGCTCATGGCACCACACACAGCCTTGGAAAACCACTTCTTTTATGTGTTTCAGCTTTGTCTTGAGATGTAGACACTCACCTAAAAGCACCTTAAGCAAAGCATGCTTAGCTCCAAAAGTATTTCTATATTGGTTTTGGACATCAGGTACTTTTTAATAAGTGGAAAAGATGCAATATAGTTACTTTCCTGTGCACTAACAGAAAAGACAAAAATAATTCCCTGGCCTGCTTTAGGCACAGAAAGTAGTAAAATAGGAAAAGGCTGTTCTTCTTTTTGTGCTTTTTTTCTCTCACCCATCGCGCACAGCACTGAACACAGTAAATTTATTTGCAGTCCATAGCATGTCAGCTTTGCTGCATTTTTTTTAGGGGGGGAATATGGTTTCATAAACTTTTCATCAAATTTTTGATTTGCTCCTGCTCTCCCAGAGCTCATCATGCAAATGCTTTCAGCTTTTCTTTTTCTTTGTTTGCATCCATTCTACTCTGAAAGAGCACTATTTATAATTTTCCTCCCTTTTCATGCTCTTTTATGAAGCTCAGAACTTAATGTTTGCAAGAAACTTATGTTGCTGGTAAGCTCTCAGTTCTGGAAACACAGGGACGTGTCTATTTGACAGGTACCTGTACTGCTGCTGAGGCCATCTCTGCAGGGGTCTCACCTGGCCTGGCTTGGGCCGAATCAGCAATACAAAGAGGGGTCAGGCTTAGGCATTTTAAATGTGAAAGATAAAACCTTTTTTCTCACACTGTTTGCCAAGAAACCCCACCTATCCAGGAAAAAAATAAAAAAACACAAAGAAAACCACCCCCACCCCCCCCTCCAAATTGCTGCAACAACTTCCAGCTTTGTCAGTTGTAAACTCTGCCTTTCTGGGTTTAGAGGCCTCGCTCCTAATGTTCAAAACCTCAGTACCTAATGGGAGGCACCCGAATAAAACTGGCCTGCCTTTCCAAAGAGTTGAGCAAAGAGAGCTATGGGTGTACTTACAGCAGTGGTTAAAAGAGAGATGTAGGCATTTAGTTTTACTTACTCAGTGTGTAAAAATTGTGGCTGCAGTGACAGATTATTGCTGAAACACATTCAGGTACAACTTTCCACTGAGTAACTGTTCTCCCCTCACAAACAACAACGAAAAAAGTGTCTAGGCTTTCCTCCTAGAACTGTAAAGATGCTCAAAATTACCTCTCTAGTTTTCTTCAAATCCCTCCTTAACATGCTTAGCAGCAGTCATCATTATTTCTTGCTGATTTCCTGCTTGGCAATATATATCTTGCCCTATCTCAAATGCATGCATCTTGCAGCAGAGATTGCCATTCGACACGTGTGCACGCACATGTGTGTGCATGTGTGTGCACACGTGTGTGCACAGTGCTTCTTATGCAGCAATGGCTCTTGGGACACAACAGCAGCACAAACATTAATTGCAGAATTGCACTGTGAGATAAAATAATTCATCCTGTTTGCTCTGCTTCTACTATAGATCCATGACCTGCAGTTGCAGCGTTTTAATGATGGAGGGAAGGCCACAATTTTTTCAAGGTTGGCAACAATTCAAAGTGTTGCTCTCTCTCTCTCTCTCTCTCAGGTGCTGAGCTGCTGTGGCACCCAAAGGCAGCTGGGCTTTGCACCCTGACTCTGGTTGGAACCATTTTTTCTACAAGAAAGGGGAAAAAAAAACCCTCAATAAGCAGGTTATGACCTTCTTGTGCCAGCCTTCCTCTCTATCCAAAAAGGCCAGTTTATTGATACCTCCTTGACCTCATGAGCCTGGAGTAATAGCTTCCTAAATCCGCTGCAGGCCATAATACTTTCTTTTGACATCATTGATTCCTCATGCGTAATTTTCATAATCTGTCATCTGGAATTAGCTCTTGTTTTCGGTTAAAACTGGTGTATTTTGTCACATAAAATATGTTTTCAAAGGTTACAGATTTTCGATTAAAAATATCTCGCCCAAACCCCTGGCTTTAAAGACACCGTAGGAAATTATATATGCACCAAGACGTGTTAAAAAATATCATCTGGACAAAGCAGCTGAAAGACAAGCAGAACTAGACAGTTGCAATTAGTTTCACTGCCAGAACTCACTCCCAAGTTCAACAGTTAGGTAAGGTTGTTCGTTTCTTTAGGTCCCACAGGTCATTCCTATGGCTATATCTGGCTATACCAAGACACTTGCAAATGCAATTGTAAGACAAGACCAAGCAGAGTCGTATCAGTCTTGCTACATGGAGAATCTCTGCCTCCAGTAAATATCACTTCGCTTCATTTGGAAAAAAAAGTCCTGTTCTTTTTCCTTCAGCTGCTGCAATCACTGTTAAGCGACTGTCATGACAGACAACACTTATTTCAGAACAACTCAGCATTTTGCTCAATGTACTTTTTTTATCTAACATGTCTGTTAACCGTATCCCACTAAGCCTTGAGCATCTATTTTAAAGTATCAACCAGAGAATTCGGTCACTATTGTGAAATGGTACGCAAGTACACATCTTTTTATTTAAAGTAACAACAGTTGTCAAGCTCCAAGTGACGCAAATATGATGAATACAAACCAACAAATACACAAAAGCAACTTTGAATCTATGAGCTAAAGGCTTGAGCTGAGAAAGTTTTAAGGTGCATGAAAGCACAGGTGAGTGTTTTGCCTGCCTGACGATGAACTTCTCCCAGAACAACAAAGACTGAACATGACAAATATATCGAGTATTTGCAGTAGTCGTAGGGGTAATGTTATTGTTTGAGTGTCCTCTGCTGGACAGCACATGGCATAGCAATAAAGCCACCAGCATATGTTGGATGGATTTTGCTTAGAAAATAACATCACTACAAAATTCAGATTATTTCTCATGTTTCATAGTCACTTAACTAAAAAAATTAGTTTTTAATAAATGCTACAACTCTGAGATTTTTAAAAACAATTATTTCCTTTATGGCAAACTACTTGTAGTTTTAAGTAGGCATAAAATTTTCAGCTGAGCTAAGATAAAATGCTTCTTGGAAAAATACTGCTATTGTCAATTTTGCGATGGAAAATTGTTGCAATGATTCATTTAGATAAGGTGGAAACATTTTGCATGAAGGCTTTGGTTTTATGGTGAATTCTGACTGAATTTGATGAAATCAGAACACTGCTGCTAGCCTTGTCATTCCTGTGGAGGCCTACCACATGGATCTGTGTACAGGATCAACATCACATTTTGTGGGCCTTTGGCATGTGGCTGTTCTGCCAGCAGTCATCTTTGACCCCATTAAAAATTGCAGACTGGCTCTATCAGAAATGCCAAGGGAGGTTTTCCTTTATCTGTTGAGAATTTGGTTCAGTTCCTGTAACTTGTTCTGTCTGTTATTGGTAAGCAGGTACATGTAAGGCGCTTTCGTACTTGTATGTTAGTTTTTCTTGTTGTTGATGGCAGGTTTGCTATTAGTTTTACTTTCTGAATGGTGTTATTATTTATTATTTAGTTATGCATAGTATTATGAAAGTTGTTTCTAAAAGAAGCTGTCCTGATTCCTGTGACACTGGTCTAAATGGCTTTCTAAATACATGATTCATTCTCTGCATCAGAAGAACCTGGCAAACGTTCTTTGATCTTGCAATTATCTTCTTTATTCATAGGAGCATCTTCTCTTCCTCCATTCTCTATAGGCCTGGAGTTCTTATTTTGAAAGTGTTTCTTTATCAATATAAAAAAAAGGATTGCAATCAAGTAGGAAGGACCTCTTAACACCGCTGATAAACCAAGGTAGACATACCTGTGGGATAGAGCATAGAAGATAGTGCCAGGCATTGAGGTTTTCAAAGCCACTGAAGAAAATCACTGTAATGGCTTTTAAGGATCACATATATACCAAAACCACATAGTAGCTTAGAGGAAAACATTAAAACTCATTCTTTGTGAATGGTACCACAAACTGGACATTTTTGCTTGCAAAAACATCTGTTAAAGAATTGATAATATTGTTTTTGCTTATGAAGATAGTTGCAAAGCAAAACTTCCATCATCTTCCCTTTGTTTCTAAACATTTTTGTATCACTTTAAGGCCTTAGACTTTTTAGGGCTAGAAATATATTGAGATCGCCAGAGTGGGCTATTTTATGTAAAAATAAAAAACACACCAGAAGAGCCCAAGGTTGGGGTGAAACAGAAAAATCTCTGGAATATTCCTCCTGGAGACCAATATTGTTTGTAAAACTTCCATCATCTTCCCTTTGTTTCTAAACATTTTTGTATCACTTTAAGGCCTTAGACTTTTTAGGGCTAGAAATATATTGAGATCGCCAGAGTGGGCTATTTTATGTAAAAATAAAAAACACACCAGAAGAGCCCAAGGTTGGGGTGAAACAGAAAAATCTCTGGAATATTCCTCCTGGAGACCAATATTGTTTGTGTTTAACCAATATCTTCAGCTGCTCAGTATGAGTGTCTTTCATTTATTTTTCTCTCAAATGTGGCCAATGCACAAAGTTAACAGTCTTGCCAGTATGAACAAACTACCTGCAAATAAGGTAAATTTGGGTACCTTTCCTCTTGATGGTAAACCATACAATCCCAGATCTTTTAAATTGACTCAAAGGATATTAAAAATACATAATTCATTCCAGAAAGTCTCTGTCATTGCTATTAAATTATTTTTGCACAACATAAAAACTGACTGAAAAACTAAGAGTTTAAGATGTGACCTTAAGATTTCTCAATTTCAGGAATTCTGAACTGTCCTAAATCTGAGTCCAGAGTTAGTATCTGACCGTAATTTTTGATCAGTGGCCTCACACACTACAGTATAACAGAACAAAGCATGTCTGTCTGTAGGGAGGAAATGCATGAGGCTTTTTGTGCCCTAATTTGCCTTACCTGTATGCACTGGAGTCATACAGCCTGCAAGCCCCTCGCTGCCCACAGCTTGTGCTTCCCCATTTCAAGCATGTCCTGTCGATCAGTGCACCGAAATAAACTGGTGCTGGAATACCAGCTGCAAGGAAACAAACAAAAATGTCACAAGATATCACAAGAAAAGACATCTTTTTAGAAATCAGCTTTATATTTTATTAGTGGCAGGTTACATGCTGCAATAGTGGCAATAGGTAGATTGGACTGTGGGGAGTTTTTTCTTTCCTTTATCAGAGTAACTGTAAGCTGGGACATCCTCTCTGCTGTGGGGATCATCAGTCCCCAGGAAATGTGGTCTGATGGGTTTGGCCGGGCTCATGGTCATGCACATTGGTTTCTCAAACATGGCTCTGAGAGCCACTGCTGGCTTCCAGTGCATGCTAAGCTCCTGCAAGGGAGAGCTGGACTGGTTGTGTATTTGGAGCACTGAACTGATGCATAGTTCCTTCTTCTATGCATAGCCTAAGTTATCCACACTGACTTCATATCTGTCTGATAGCAGCTGATAGTCCCTTCTGCCTGAAGGGACAGCATCAAGTATACATGATTAGAGAAACTGAATATGCTTTTCAAAAATGTTTATGAGGGTAGAGCAACTTCAGTTGCATCCTTAATGTGACTTGGCCAGATATGAGCTTATGCTTTACTGCAAAACTTGGCAGACATGGGACAAAATCCTAGCCTTGCTGAAGTAAAGGCGAATATTAACTTCAGAGGAATCCAGGTTTCAGCTTTTACAGGACCATGTTTCACATTAGCTTTGTTCCTACAGGAGCATCCTGCATTCTTATATAGGAAATAATTTATTTTGTAAAAACAGGTATACTCTGAGCCTGTTCTACCCTAGGGCTCTTGTGAGAGTCTGAACTCAGTAATCTATCTATAAAGGCCTGTGTAGTGCTACCGTCAGTGCTGTAGTCAGGGTATGATGGGACAAGTGCTCATTTTGGAGGTTCCTTAGAGAAGGAAGATGGGAGCACATCCGATTTGATCTCCGAGTCCCTGAAGAGAAATGCCAGCTTTTGTGAACCCGTTGACAGTGGCTCTACCCTTTCTTGCAATGGAAGGAGCATGCTGGCTTAATGTGCTGAAACAGAAGCCTATAGAAAGGGGGCAGTTCTTTTTTCATAATGCTTTGTTTTGTTTCCCATGGCCGAAAGAGCTCCAAGAATCCCATTGGCATTGCTTGTCCTGAGAGCTGGGGCAGAAATTCTGCCCCTTCATTGTGTGATGAGGAAAGTAGAAGAGGACAAAGTGTGGATACACCTTCCTATCTCAAAATGTCCCATCACAATCCTGAGTAGAGACTACAGCCCTAATCTAGCTCTGATTGTAGAAACTTATAAGCTGCTGTTGATTTTTTAGGCTTCATAGCAAACCCATGTGGCTTGACCCTTCACACACATTTCTCCACATTTCTGAAATGCAGGTATTCCTATTCCATTGACAAAAAGAACAAAAGGAAACAGAGAGGTGTTTTCTTGCCTGCCTAGGCATCTTAATCAACCATCTCATTAGCAACTCTCAAATAAAAAAGGAAAAAAAAGAGCATTGCAGCATGCTTAAAGGCAATTGAAATCTAAGCTCTCATCTACCAGGAAAGTGAAGTTTCAACATAAAGAAAACACTCTGTTATGAGCAGAGTTGTATTAGTGTTGAATGAAGTCCTACTAGAGCACGTCTTTTTGATCTTACTTGCAGCATTGTGTCTCAGTGAGCCATTGGTTGAATCATAACTTTGAAACCTTATAGTGTTGTTTAGAAATTCAAGATAATACTTTAATTTTGCTTAGAAACTTTTCCCATTTTGGAACACCAGGCTCCCAAACTGCAACACCATTTAATCAGCAGGTCAAAGATTTTCAAAATTGTGTTAGCTGGTTTCCCAATGAACTCTTGACTGAATATTGGACCTTCAGGAAAAAAAACCCAGGGTCTTCAGGAACAGCCCAGGATCTAACAGCTATTTCAAGGATACATCTGGTTTACAAATGGTGGTTGCACTGGTGTCATTTAAAGCCATAACGAGCAAGCATCTTAGTTATTCAGAATGATTTCTCTCACCTAGCATTCTCATAATGAGTGTGTATAGACCAACCGCAAGAGATTTCAACTCTGGATGAACGCATCTGAAAGAAAGAGGGTTAAGCATGAAGTATTTGCTTATCTAGTGCTGAGACATGCCTATTAAACTGCTGTTAATTACCCTGAATTTAATACTTTTCATGACAGAAAGCCAAGCTTTGGAAGGAGAGTGCTTCCTACGTCTGCTGAAAATACATTAAGTGGTATGAAAAAGGTGAATTAATTTATTGTTTTCCATCACATAGCTCCTGGGAAGTCCATTCACTAAGCATAATTAAAGAAGTGAAATTTTAAAGTCATAATCACAGTCTATCCTAGTCTTATTGAAATGGGCTCTCCAACTGCCTTAACTCCCTGGCGAACATTTTCCTCACTTGATGGGAAATATACCTCACTCGATGGGAAATATCACAGTGCCCTAAGACAAAAATGTTGCAAGCAGCTGCATCAGTGCAGCATCTTTCTATTCTCGAACTACATTCCTCTGTACAATGCCACATCTTGAACTACGCAAAGCTATCTGGCAATATGCCCATCTGTTTCATGGGGAACCATACTCCAAGTGTCAGAAACACGCTCTGATCTTGAATCCATCCCTTACAAATATTAACATGGTCTACACTCAGAATGGTGTCTCACAGAGGCAAGGAAGGGAGGGGAGTTCACATTCAGTTTTCTGTGCTCATTTAGGATGACTTAATGCTCTTAGGACTACCATTAAATTTGCCACTAATGCATTTTTCTACGGATTGAGCTTTCTCTTCAGGTTACTGAAAAGTATATGCTAATTTGCATACATGCTTCCACATGACATCCTGGTACACTTGCACCTGTGTACCTCAACAGACATGGGCATAAAAGCCTCCAACTGAGCCCTCAGATGTCCTGAATTTCCAGACATCTGATAAGCACAATCTGTTAGGGCAACCCCACATCCAGAAATCCTGACAAACGCATGGCATTTTCAAAATCCATACAGCCAAAATATCCAAGCAGAGAAAGAGGACATGTTCTGGAAAATGGGGGCATAGAACAGGCATAAGAGAAACCATTATGCAGTAGTTGGAAGCAACACACTAGAACCGACTTACAGACAGCAGCAAAGTAAGATTTGATGCTAACAGCTACAGACAAATGGGAAATGACAAAACTCATTAAAGAAAGCATGTTATACTGCAAGAGAGTCTTTTCTCCTAAGGGAAAGACAGAAACATAAACACAACTTTGATCCCCTCATTGGAAAACCTCAACCATTGGTACACAGTTATTTTTACTTACCTAAACATAATCATGTATGCTGGGGTGCCTCCCAATGCATAACAAAAGCCACTTATGACTTGTATTACTGTATAATAAATAAACTTCATTGAACAATCCTCACTTTTTGGACATTGTCCCAAGGTGGCAGAGTTATTTCCTGTCCATGAACTGCTGGCTTCAAGACAGCTGCAGTTATGGAAGACCTGGAAGACACAAAGCAGATTTAGAATCATAGAATCATAGAATCATTTGGGTTGGAAGGGACCTCTAAAGGTCACCTAGTCCA